ATTCAATTCTATAAAATAGTTTGGGCGCTCCCACAATGTTGACACAGATAAGCTATTCGCGAATAATGGCTATATGTACGTAGTAAGCCGTACAGTTTCGATATGTTCCTCTAGATGGCGTGATTACATACTGGGGGTGCGCGAAGCCTTTTATTAGTGAACCTATCCATATGACTAGACATAATCGTTCACCGGGTGTTTTGGCCTGCATAATATTTTGCTGACCTAGTTCGTTCTGTTTCTGCAAACGTTTCATCTTTGTTTTCATGTAGTAATTGCAGAAATTTGATGCACGACGCAGTGCGCAGAACAGCGGTCGCTCCAATACCGAAGAAATTTTATCGCAAATCAACTACTACAACATATACTGACAGTGCACTCTCGGAAAATGAAAGCGACGAGTATCCAAAGATTCGCTCTTACATAAAGCCTAGTAAGTTTCAATGTTATTTTTGGCTACAGCAGCCTTTTGCTGGTTGTGACCCTTTCGAAAAAGTATTATTGGTGTGAAGGCACGAATAATTCCTTTTCGAGAGGTTCACAACTCATGCCACATTAGCTTTCACTAGTATTTATGGTAAGGTCCTCGTAGATAAAACCACTGATGTTTTGAGTTCTAATGGAAATAGGTACATTCTAGGGGTTTAATTTCAAACGCAATCAATTTGTTCTTTGATAGCAAAGTAAGCAATCATAGTTTAGACAAAAACATCAACACGTACAATAGAGGTCTGCGAGAACAGCGAATAATAGATAAAATGTGCGGCTTTGTGAGTGTTTTTGATGCTTTCTAATTTACTGCTTCATGTTTTTTTTTTTCGAAATGATGGCTATTTTTAGCAGAAACTCAATCGCGCGTTGTCTTTCAACAATCAGAAGAGCACATCACATAAGCCAATATCAAGTCGTTTCATGTCAAACGAGAAGAAACATTTCACACCGGTGGTAACTGCATGTGCAAAAGCTCCTCCCACTCTTCCATCACAGTCTACGGTGTTACCCAGGCTTACTGCAAGCGGACCCGGTGTTAGTGGAAAGAAGCAATCTTCTTCTGCGAGAGTTTCTGATGATACACCATCTTCTTCTCATCATCTGCAAGAAAAGCGATCGTCAAATGTCTTGGGTTCGGATAAATTGAAGCGACGGAACATTCCCAGACCACCACCTTTGCCTCAAAAAAGACCTCGGATTTCATCTCCTCCAAGCACTGCATCTGTATCTCAGGCAACTACTCGCTCGTTACTGCCCAGTGAGCCGGATGTGTTGCAGAGGAAATGTTCCGTTTCAACCTCCAGTAACCGTTCTGAAAACAAAGCTATCATCGAAGAGATTGTACAAACGTCTGAACAGCAGTTTAAAAGCAATATGGAGCAAAGTCATCGTAGAACTGTTTCCCAGCCTTCAGAGAAATGCTATCAACGGAAGGATTGTTTACTTACTAAGTAAGTATGTTATAATGTTTTCTTGTCTCTTACTAAGTATGTTATAATATTTTTATGATCTGTCATCTCAATTAGTTTTCCTGCAATATTAATATTGTTCACCTGTCTTATCCCCTCAGCGTAGAACAGACCAAACACGCACACATTGTTTTATATAGAATCAAAGTTTCTATAACATCACATGATTAGAGGATCAAAATCTGCTGTGATGAACGCGTCTGTGTGCGCAGCCTAAGCTTATGGGAGTTCTGTTCAAGTCTTGCGGTTTGCTAACCAGGT